ACACACACACACACACACACACAGTATATATTTTTTATTTTTTCCGGAATTTTCAGGAATGTCCACTTTCATCTCTGATTAATAAATTATTCATTTTATTCTCTGCGGCCCGGTACCAAATGGGCCGCGGAGCGGTACCGGTCCGCAGACCGGCGGTTGGGGACCCCTGCCCTAGACCACCCTCAAGTCAAGAAACTCCAGTTACGTGTGTGTGTCCTTTGCTTCACCATATTTTTATCATCTTACATGATTCACAGTTTGAATAGCTACATTGATTCATTTTTGGGGGGAATTACAATCTATCCATTTTCTGCATTGCTCATCCTGTTAGTATTTTGTGACATAGTCAATGAGTGGGTATTCCTACCTTTCACATTTTAACTGGTCCACTATTGATTCCCAGTACCTAGTACCTAGGAATTGATACCGGTACTCAAATGTACCAATTTTCAGTACTTTTGTGTGTATTTTGGTAATGACACGGTAATGGCAGGTTTTGGATAAATTATGTAAAAATATCTCATGTTTGTTTTCATTTAACAGACATTACACAGTAAAAACAGTTGGGTTAAAAGCAACCCAAATTGGTTTATTTTAAACCCAGCCGCTGGGTTCTAATAGCACCATCCATAACTTATTTAATTGTAGGCAATTTGAACCAGCAGGATGGGTTGGTCGATTTAACCCAACAACAGGTGAGTTAAATGTTTTACCCAAATGGTTCGGTCAAATGTACTACAGTTCTGGGTTGTTTGTATGACTGATCCATGTTTATTTACTGTCCCAAAATGCTGTGTCAAATCAACTAGAATTTTGGGTAATTTCAACGACCACACATTTTTTGGCCAGTTATCTATCCTAATGAATGGCTACATTAGCCAATGTCCAAATAAAATTCTTATATATTACATTACAATCCCTTAAAGTATTGACTAGATTACATATAAAACTGTTCAATTTCACACGTGAAACAAAATACATGCTAGACGCGGTACCTCAAAGCATGTATTATGCAACAGACACAAAAATCTGCCATAAATTTGAACATGAAAGAAATTAAAATCTGTGTCAGACAAAACAGTCAACAGTGCAAAACATCTAACAAGTAACAGCATCAGTGCAAAATAAGTAACAGTTAACAGTTACATGAAGTTGATCTGACTGCCTGCAAATGCTGCAAGCTGATAGCTCAATTTACAAGCACATATTTGACTTTCAAGAAACAGTACTAGGTTGGATTTTACTCATGTACTCATTTGTTTCGACAACTATTTGTATAAAGTCCCTCACGTTGACACTGATTTGGGTATCGGACATATGGGTTATGCCTTGATTTGTTGGCCAAGATTCTCCACCATGTTTGTCCTAGATGGAAAAAGAAAGGTTACATATAGTTACGATATGGCATTGTTAAGTGGTGCATTCGATCACAAAATACCAACTGAAGGCCCAGGTCCAAAACACACCACACACACACACACACACACACACACACACACACACACACACACACACACGCGCACACACACACACACACACACACAATCTCTCTCTCTCTCTCTCTCTCACACACACACACACACACACACACGCAGCTAAACTTGTAGGGCGCGTCAAAAAAACACTGCCTTATGGATACAAAATGCTGTACATGGAGGAAAAATAATTCATACAACAAAAAAATAAGTGAATGATGAAGACAGTATAAAGCACAAATACAATACAACTAAAAGTCAAGTCTCGTGCTGAGTCAAAACCTAAAGATTGAAAATGAGTTTTAAGACCAGTTTTAAAGATGGGCAAGGAGGGGTTTAACCGGACGTTGAGTGCGAGGTCATTCCAAAGAGAGGGGGCCAGCAACAGAAAAGGCTCAATCCACTCGGAGTTGCCGCTTAGTTCTTGGTACCTCCAATAATGTCTGGTCCGCATACCTGAGGCATCATGCAGCTGCGTAGGGGCAGAGGACCTCAGAAAGGTAAGTGGAGTGAGGCCATTTAAAGATTTGAAAACAAATAATAGAATCTTAAAAAGAACTCTAAAATGTATAGGGATCCTGTGAAGGGATGCCAGAGTAGGGGTTACTTGCTCCCTCTTACGAGTGCCTGTCAAGAATTGAACAGCAGCATTTTGGACCAACTGGAGACATGTAATGGAGGATTGGCTGACTCCAAATTAAAATGCATCACAGTAATCTAGCCGAGAGGTGACAAAGGCAGTACTGTTGAAAAAGTAGAGGCTTGCCAGCATTCAGGACAATTTTCCCCGGTTCCCCACACCAAGGGCCGAGAGGGAGCTAGCACAGAACCAAAGAATGCTGAGGAGTGTAAAATTTCAGAATTGTTACAATATACTCTATATCGTGTATTTGTGTGGCTCGGCTGCAGGCGGCTGCATTAAGTCTCGCTTGCTCAAAATCCGGAAATGTAATTGTGTATGAAAGCGTGCGTGAGTAAAGTAATTTACTCTGGTACAGTTTTTAACTCTTTCACTTTTTTAGTTAGAACTTAAAAAAGATCAGCTTAGGCAGTGAAACATGGTATCGTTTGAGTTCATGTGAAGTGATGCTAGGTAGTACCAACCCACTTCGGTTGGAACGAAAAAAAAGCACAGACTTTGTTATCCATCCCTGTCAAGAGAGTAATCCACATAGCCCAACTTTGAACGTCACCAATTGTTTTAAAATGTGAAGGGCTGTACACATGACAAACAAAAATTCATATAGTGTATAATTTTCTCGAGATGACCAATACAGCAGAGCACACACAAAAAAAGATTAGTGTAGAGGCTGACCTGTGAGAGGCAACATGCTGCCACATGGCATCCACACTGTGGAAGTAGTAATTGAAGAAATAGAACTATTGTCTTATCTGGTTTAAAAACAACAACAACAAAAACAGTACAATGCGGTTGCAAATGCTTTGTATTTGTGTCCTGCCTCATTGCAAGCTTCGGGTCAGTTTCCTGATTGTCTATCATTACCTTCACATCATAATCAGGGCATCTGTGTCCGATGTATTGACCAAACTATGTTTTGACTGCACAGATCATAAATCAGCTGTAACACTTATGTTGGTGGGCCCTGACCATTGTCTCGAGCAGATCGGGACGAAAAGCCATCCTGAACACACCCCTACCACAGGTTAATTGCTCAGGATAATCCGAGATCGGACCACTTTGACCATAAGAGAAGGAAACGTTCAAATCTGGCCCGATTGTTGGTATGTGAGTACCCCGCTTTAGGAAACGTTTAAATTCACAGGTTTTGAAGGACTCTGGATACTTTTTAAGCATTTTCTGTCGGCCTTGTTCAACAGACGTTTTTGCACTAATATACATAGGGTGGGATCAGACTGGTAACAGGTTTGAGTTGAATCGGGGGGTATTGGCAATGCAGTAACTACTTCTAAACAGTATGATCAATGAAAAAGTGAACCCCTTTCCATCTTCATAGGTGGCCAGATGTGTACCTTGGACTGACCACAGTAGGCCAGAACATGTCTGTCTCCAACCTTCAGAGGACCCTCAGCCATGCCTTGAGTATATCCTCCTGTGCCGCGTCCAATCCTGAAGAGCGAGTGGTCACAGCAGAACTCATGGTCCACCCAGGTTACCCCAGTCATCCACAAAAAGGTGGCTGTGGAGAAGGACCGGATGACTTCTCCCAGTCAGCTGACCGGCAACATGAACTCAGTGTGCTCACTGACTTGTCGCTACTTGCTATGTACCGCAAGGAAAGAGTGCAGCTCTGTGCTTTTAAAGACCTTTGAGAATGTCTTCACTATATGAATTAGAGAGCTTCACCAGATTAATTTGTTGGGAAGATAACTTTTGTTTCATTAAGAATCACATTGACTATCCTTACTCTTGACACTACACGAAAATTTCAGAACTACCTCAAAACCATGTTATATTTGGGGGCAATTTTGAAACATTTTACCAATATTAAACTTGAGCTACAATGTGATGCTATTTATTAAGTAATCACAGGACCATTGGATGAGTACAGAAAAGTATAAACCAAGGGGCAATTACTAAACAACGAACCAACAAAACAAGACAACAAAAGACCGGTGGTGGTAGATTTTGTTTCATTCAAGGTGACTAAGTTGGGCTTTGGGTGGCGCCATCTATTGGCCAGCCACCGCTGAGACATATGGGACTTGAAACATTTACATACGCTGTGTAAAAAAACACTTTTTTCTCATTGTCATGAAATCAGACTATTTTTTTTTCTTGTTTCAGGTCAATTCAAATTACCAAAATAATTTATATATTGTAATAAATGCCAGAATGATGAGAGAAGAATTTTGGGAGCACAAATTTTCATTACTTTATTCAAAGTCAGAAGTTTACGTGTAATAAGATTACTGTGCCTTTAAACAATTTGAGAAAACCCAGATGATGATGATGTCTTGTCTTTCTTTGGACGCTTCTGGTAGGTTTATTGACAACATTGAGTTAATTAGAGGCACATCTGTGGGGGTATTTGAGGGTATACTTGAAATGTACTGCTTCTTTGTAATATATTGGGGAAGTCAAAAGAAATGTGGACTTCCACAAGTCTGATTCATCGTTGGGTAAATTTTTCAAATGCTTGAAGGAGACACGTTCATTTGTTCAAACAATTATATGACAGTATAAACATCATGAGTGTGTCCAGTCATCATACCATTCAGTAAAGAGATGGATTCTGTGTCCCAGAGGTGGCTGTGCTTTGGTCTGAAATGTGGATACCAACCCAAGAACAAAACTAAAAGACTGTAAATATTCTGGCTGAAGCTAGTAAGAGTGCTGCAAAGTGGCCTGGGCTGCGAGGGCCCATCATAGCTGCTTGCAGCTTTTTATGGCCCGAGCAGCGACCGCTGCACGGTCACTATTGCTTTTGTATACATTATTCTTCTTCCAGCCATCCATTTTCTAATTCGCTTATCCTTACACGGGTCACGGGCGTGCTGAGGTCAATCCCAGCTCTCTTCAGGCAGCAGACGGTGTACACCCTGAATTGGTTGCAGACATTATTATTACTAATAGGACCCATATGAAACTTGGCACAGAGGTGACGCTTGAGTTAAATTTGTGGTTAAATAAAATGGCTTGGTTTTGCCCTTTACAAATTTTGAACAAAACATTCCCGGTTGAACATTTAACCAAGACCGACCAAAAGCTGGAGGCACATGTGACAGCCCAAGACCTAAAAAAAAGTATCTGGAGCCCTACTCAAACGATAGTGGGTCATTTTGAATTTCCTTTCAAGTTTGCTTCATTTTTGGCCTTTTACAGAGGTCATATTTTGTCAAAATAGCTTTTGATCCGATACTTCATTGCCCAAAAAATTCTGATTCCACTGTGCCAGTACTCCGACATTGGTCTCAACTGTCACTTGTGGCACTCAAAATGGGTATCTGGTGCCAGTCGCCAGTGTCTTCAAGTTCCTGGCAGGCAGTGTCCTTGAAAAAAAAAAAGCAATGAAAAGAATACCGTACGGAGTTAGCCAAAGGCATGGTTGTATCGGACAGCATTAGTGCTACTTGGCTTATGTTAGCGATTCTGTATACATCGCAGGGGCTCAATTATAAAGGAGGAAAAGCATTGCGTGTGACTGTGACGCAAAGAGACATTCGAACAGTTGAAGCGATTTCAATGGGTTTCAAAACATGTTCCTGCCCAAGTGTGTATATAAGCGTGCGAGTAAGTCCCCACCACTCATCAACACGACTTGAAAAGGGTCGCGGGGGGTTGCTGGAGTCTATGCCAGCTGACTTCAGGCGGAAGGCGGACACCATCAAAACCTGATCGCTAGTCATTCGCAGGGCACAAACAGAGACAAACAACCACACCCACGTGCACACACTGAGTGGGAACCGATGCCACGCTGCCCGCACACAAGTCAGGTGAAAAGCTCCTCTGTGGCATCCTTGGTGAGGTGTTTCCAGATGTATCCCACCGGCAGGAGGCCACAAGACACGCTGGAGAAACTCTGTGAAGACATGGGTTTGGAGAGGGAAGTTTGGGCTTCCCTGCTGAAGTTGCTACCTCCATGAACCGGAAAAAAAAGAAGGAAAAAAAATACACACACACACAGTGATGTGAAAAAGTATCACCTGCCCGTTGTTTTTGTTTTTTGGGGGCATATCCACACAAAGGTTTCGAATCATCAAACCCATTTTAATACAGAAATACAACATATGGAGATTTCAAATGACAATTCCATTTATCAAGGCAATGTGAAAAAGTAATTTCACCCCCACCCACTTTTTAAATCACAGAATAACTGATATCTCTCTCTCTCTATATATCTATCTATATATAGATAGATAGATATATGTCTATAGATATATCTATATATATATGTATATATATATGTATATATATATATATATATGTCTACAGATATATATAGGGAGAGAGAAAGAGACAGAGAGAGAGAGAGAGAGAGAGAGAGAGACACACACCCACCCTTCCATTTTCCGATCCGCTTTACCTCACAAGGGCCGCGGGGGGTGCTGGAGCCTATCCCAGTTGAATTTGGGCAGGAGGCGGGGGACACCCTCAACCGGTTGCCAGCCCATCGCAGGGCATGCAGAGACGAACAACCATCCGCGTTCACACTCACACCGAGGGACAATTTAGACTAGAGTGTTCAATCAGCCTGCCATGCATGTTTTTGGAATGTGGGAGGAAACCGAAGTACCGGAGAAAACCCACGTAGACCAATTGGGAGACATAGTCTCTCCAGCGTGTCTTGGGTCGTCCCCGCGGCCTCCTGCCAGTGGAACATGCCCAAAACACCTCACCAGGGAGGCGTCTTGGAGGCATCCGAATCAGATGCCCGAGCCAACTCATCTGGCTCCCCTCGACGTGGAGGATACTGTAATCATCTAAACTAAAATTTATCAGTCTGTGTGGAATGAATGTATGCATGACACACGTTTCATTTTTTGAATAGTATTCCTGAAGTAAACTTTTTCATATTAAATGTTTTTGACAAGCACCTATTGATGGCTTTGCCACTATAATTTGTTGCTCCTTCATCATAATTGGCCCCACCCCTTTGAGCCACCACCCTTTGCACGTCACTGGTTGCTGAGCTCTTACAAATGTTTTCTGACGTGTTGCCTCCACAAATGCCAAATACAATTGATTGATTCGGATTCCTGTGATGTAGAGATAATAGTGTAGGTGAATAGTTTTCACATTGGCAGGACTGAAAAAAAAAGAAAGGGTACAGGTTGAAAATGGGCACAAATTATTTTGTTCAAACATATTTTATCTGACAGCCAGTCATCCAAGGTTGCACTTTTCCACTCTAATTGTGGTCTTTTATCCACTGCTTTGTCCACTGCACTATCTGCTCCAAGTTGCTTTCCAGGTCCTCAGGAGTGTTGCTGGGTAGCTGGTGGACAAGCTCCTCTTTGTAGGCCTCAATTGCCTCCTCATAGATGGTCTGAAAGATTTCACACTGCACATTGTCCTGCAACTTCTTTCCTGTGTAGCCCCTGTCAAGTATCATATTTAAAAGGGAGAACCAAGGTTATGTTTCAGAATTAGACATCCAGTTTAAGACCTTGTTTCCCTGCACATTTGTGCGTGCCAAAACGGGCCCAAATTTGATTTTGCATGCAAACAGATGTGGAAGCTGATCTACCAACTGGACACCATCAGGATTGGGACTGCAAAACAAGGGACGATGTGATTCATCAAACCTGTGATAGTACCGTATTTTCCGGACTGTAAGTCGCTCTTGAGTATAGGTCGCACCAGCCATAAAATTCATAATAAAGAACAAAAAAAAAAAACATACATAAGTCGCACTGAAATATAAGTCGCATTTTGGGGGGAAATTTATGTGATAAAATCCAACCCCAAGAACAGACATGTCATCTTTGAAGGCAAATAAAAATAAAACAACAGGTTGAATAAGAGTACGATATGCTAACGTTACATGACGCATAAACAATGAACTAAGAATGTGTTCACGGTATGTTCACGTAACATATTAAGAGTTATTCAAATAACTGTAGCATAATGATCATGCTAACAAGTTCACCAAACCATCAGTGTCACTCCAAATCACTAAATCCAATGAAATCTTCATCCTCTGTGTCACTTTTAAGCAACTCTGCCAACTTCGGAGGTAGAAGAGGCGATGCTTCCTCTTCTATTTCGCTGACGTCAGAGTCATCGTAGGGTTTTTTTTTTGTCAATGTGGAAAGCATCAACACAGGCCTCGGGCCCCCTCTTGTGGTTTAATGTGAAAATAACATGTCAAATGATAGAATGTGTTAAATATTTCACACATAAGTCGCTCCAGAGTATAAGTCGCACCCCCGGCCAAACTATGAAAAAAACTGTGACTTATAGTCTGGAAAATACGGTAATTATACTAAGCAGTGGTGTGGTGGCCATCGCGATGTTCAGGAGAACTCCTGTACGGGAGTTAATCGATCGCCATTTCAGGTTGAAGCATTTTTGCACAACGGGGCCGTTGCATTTTTTGGGCGGACTGTCACAAGTTTTCAACGCAATCTTACGCAGAATGGGCACATAACTGGACATTCCAACAATATTCGATTTTGCGCTTGCCGTGCTTTACCAGATGTTCTGTGATGAACAAAACCTTCTTTTAAACACTACATACAAGATCTCGCTAATTTGCCAGTATTTATTTTTTTTCAGAGCATGACAAATTGGATATTGCCGACAAACAGAGATTCTTTTGCTTGAGTCCAAAAATTTAACTCAAGTCAGAAACCGGAACACTTTCTAAAAGGCGATGCGGGAATAGATACTGCCACATTAAAAAGAAATTAAAAATCAACTAATCTCGTTAGTTTCTTTCCTACGCTTACTGATATGGTTACATTTGGCGGGTCGGCTTGTCTTATGATAATGTGATGTTCAGACCGAATGCGCGAATGAGCTATTCTCATGGCAGTTCAATTTAAAGTCAATCCAGTTTACAACGGATAGGTGCAAATCTGTGCCAGGGCACGATTGACACATGAGTGGGGGTGAGCACATTTGTTCAAGATGGTAAATTTGACCCCACTCTGAGTCGTGTGTGTGTTATGTATCAAATCACTTTAATCTCAACGACGATTTACGCTAATAATGATAATGTGCGTCGCGGGTTGAAGATGTTTATTAGATTGCTGTTAACGGCAAGCCCCACCTCCAGGTCTGGAGGTGTATGGGCAAGAGCATGGATCGGGAACCTATGGCTCGCGAGCCAGATGTGGCTCTTTTGATGATTGCATCTGGCTCTCAGATAAAACTAAATATTCTCGCTTTTTTAATCAATCCATCGATTTTTCACTGCTCGTGTCCTATTCAGGGCTGCAATTGCAGGAGCAGTTTTAATTGGATGATACTGGCCTATGTAGGCCGTTGCTGTGGAAACAGGTAAACGCCCCCTTTTGAATCGGCCCACTCGGTCATGAGCTCAAAGCTAACCTTTCCACAAAGCAGTTGGTGAAAAGAAAAAAAAAAGATGACAAGTATGATACACTTCAGGACAAATGGACCGAAGGATTCGTCTTTGTGGAAAGAACAGGTTCTGCGGTGTGTCTAATTTGAAATCACAAAACATCATCGATGAAACGGTCGAATGTAAAGCGGCACTTTGACACGTGCCATGCTACGTTCGCATCAAAACACGCTGCGAGAGACAGCAGAAAGGAAGCCTGCAAGCGACTGAGCAGGCTGCAAGCTAGCCAGCAGCAACTCCACGTATGGACCAAGCAAGCTGACGATAATTCCGCTCGTTATGCTAGATTTTTAGCAAACGTGAGGAACTGAAAACCATTCACATTAATGGTGAGTATTATGACAAAATTATTTAAAAGAATAAATTCAGAAGCTTATCATACTGACATTTTGTTGAATTCACTTGAGAAAAAAAATATATATTTATATAATACACACGTGTGTATATATATATATATATATATATACCCTCACCGGCCACTTAATTAGGTACACCAGTCCAACTGCTTGTCACCACTTTATTTCTAATCAGCCAATCACATGGCGGTAACTCAGTGCATTTAGGCATGTAGACATGGTCAAGACAATCTCCTGCAGTTCAAACCGAGCATCAGTATGGGGAAGAAAGGTGATTTGAGTGGCTTTGAACGTGGCATGGTTGTTGGTGCCAGAAGGGCTGGTCTGAGTATTTCAGAAACTGCTGATCTACTGGGATTTTCACGCACAACCATCTCTAGGGTTTACAGAGAATGGTCCGAAAAAGAAAAAATATCCAGTGAGCGGCAGTTCTGTGGGCGGAAATGCCTTGTTGATGCCAGAGGTCAGAGGAGAAAGGCCAGACTGGTTCGAGCTGATAGAAAGGCAACAGTGACTCATATAACCACCAGTTACAACCAAGGTAGGCAGAAGAGCATCTCTGAACGCACAGTACGTCAAACTTTGAGGCAGATGGGCTACAGCAGCAGAAGACCACGCCGGGTGCCACTCCTTTCAGCTAAGAACAGGAAACTGAGGCTACAATTTGCACAAGCTCATCAAATTGGACAACAGAAGATTGGAAATCGTTGCCTGGTCTGATGAGTCTTCATTTCTGCTGCGACATTCAGATGGTAGGGTCAGAATTTGGCGTCGACAACATGAAAGCATGGATCCATCCTGCCTTGTATCAATGGTTCAGGCTGCTGGTGGTGGTGGTGTAATGATGTGGGCAATATTTTCTTGGCACTCTTTGGACCTCTTGGTACCAATTGAGCATCGTTGCAACACCACAGACTACCTGAGTATTGTTGCTGAATCGATCCATCCCTTTATGACCACAATGTACCCAACTTCTGATGGCTACTTTCAGCAGGATAATGCACCACGTCATAAAGCTGGAATCATCTCAGACTGGTTTCTTGAACATGACAATGAGTTCACTGTACTCAAATGGCCTCCACAGTCACCAGATCTCAATCCAATAGAGCATCTTTGGGATGTGGTGGAACGGGAGATTCGCATCATGGATGTGCAGCCGGCAAATCTGCGCCAACTGTGTGATGCCATCATGTCAATATGGACCAAACTCTCTGAGGAATGCTTCCAGCACCTTGTTGAATCCATGCCACGAAGAATTGAGGCAGTTCTGAAGGCAAAAGGGGGCCCAACTCGTTACTAGCATAGTGTACCGAATAAAGTGGTCGGTGAGTGTGTGCGTGTGTGTGTGTGTGTAAATATATATATATATGGTTCTCTCTGAAATACATTTCCAAATATTTTGCTTTCATGGCTCTCTTAGTCAAAAAGGTTCCCGACCCCTGGGCAAGGGGAAACTGAGAGCATTGCTTTTACTTTTCATGAGGGTGTCTCGGAGCGGCCCTGAGTCTGGTCCCTCAAGTCGGATCTTTTTGCCATGGTTGACTCTACCGAGGGCAATAAGCTCCACACAATTTAGCTCCTAGAATCAGTGAGACACACAAACCCCTCCACCTCGATAAAATGACAGCTACTGGAGGGTTCCCCCCAACCCCTTTTTTTAGATTTTCAGGTTTCAATATTAATTCACTTTCCGTATTTTATGCACTGTAGTAAAGCACTAGAGTATAAGGCGCACCTTCAATGAATGGCCGATTTTAAAACTATTTTCATATATAGGGCACACCACATTATAAGGTACATAGAATAGAAGCTAAAATAGTGGTTGCAGTTGCATTATGCATCCACTAAATAGAGCTACGCGAAAGGGAATACAATACAATTCACAACGGCTTTATTTATAAAGCGCTTTCACAACCGCTGCAGCTGTAACAAAGCGCTTTACAGAACATTTAAAATACTACGTCCAAGAAATCAGAATATTGATCCATACATAAGGCGGATAATAAGGCGCACTGTCGGCTTTTGAGAAAGCTTTTATGTGCGCCTTGTAAATACGGTAATTTACAAAGTAAATGAGTTCAGGTTACCTGCTTTCCAGCCGTGTGTAGAGCTGAGTATTGTCTGTTCTGAGGACAAAGACAATGTGAAACCAGCGTTCGGGGAAGAGGTCACAGCCATGATAGTCTACAATCACACCTCCATGCGTCATCTTCTCATCTAGCTCATCCACTACCTGCAGGATCACAGAATTGTCACACTGAACCTTTTAAATACATACATAAAGGAGTGCAGCAGGTGTTACATTTGAATACGAATAATTGTTTGAAGTAAGTGATGCCTTCAAAGTGAATGCCTCAAAAGTTGTGCCATTATAAGTTGAAGTAAAATATGGGTGAATCGCATGCATCCAAAGTACAGCACAATCTGGCGTTATAACAGCCTCGAATGTGATGTCGTAATCTCACTCAAGCTTTCGGTGTAACTTGTAGAACTGGGGTCAAAAAGAGCACTTCAACTAACAACACATTTATTGCTCGCTTGCCATCCTGGTGAGGATAAGTGGTTTAGAAAATGAAGGGATTGCAAACATTGCACAGGATCGTTAGCGTCATAACAATTAAAACTCATTGGAATACAAAGGGCCATGGCTCATTGAGGTGAATCGATGGTGAGTGATATTTTGAAACATTTGTTTTTATTTTGGTCCTTGAAAACGTGGTCACATGAAAATGACCACGAACACTAAAATGTTTGGGGTCCTGGATGTATTTTAAAAAATGTGTCTGCACATGTATGGTGCCAATGTGCATTGTTGAAAGGTCACTGTTTCGTCAATAAAGCTGTGAGTGATTTATTCTTTGCAGTAGTAATATAAAATACAGATATAGTGGTACCTCTACTTATGAAATTAATTAGTTCTGGAAGAAATTTCTTAACTAGAACATTTTGTAAGTAAAGATGCCTTTTCCATGAAAATGCCCTAATCCATTCCAAACCCCCTTACCTCAAATTCAGACATAAATATTTTCTAAAGCATCAAAATGCATCAAAATATGTAAACAATACATGTTAAAATTAGACTATTGCACAATAAATGATTGTTGTGCAGAATGTAAAAAAACTGAATAAAGAATAAAAATGATGGTGATTTAACTTTTCATTGCATCCTCATCGTTTTTTTGCCCTCTTTAGTTCATGTTCTCTCTCAGAAGTGGTTTTTGTCCAGTGTTTTGGAAAGAACTGATCCAAGGACACTTGCTTTTGTCGGCTTTTAACAATCCTTTGAAAATGTCCAAGGCAAACATCAGCATAGTGAGCGATTGCCCGACTGGTTAACAGTTTTTCTGGGTCATTCACACTTACCAGTGATGGCAATGGCGAGTGATGAAAAAAGCGGAAAGGGGCGTGGCCTGGACGGGGCGTGGCCTGGACGGGGGCGTGGTTACTTACAAAAGTGGCACTAAACATGCTGAAGATGACGTGATTGAATTTACACACTATTTGAAACTTGAACAGAAAAAAAATCCCAAGATTGCCACTGTTCTTTCAAGTAAAAATTTGTGCAATTTTGCTTATGCATTCCTGGTGAGCACCAATATGTAACTCCAAATTTGCTGCTCAAAATCAAAACTAAAAAAGAAAACACATTCCCTGCCACATTTAAGATTTGTTCATGACTTGTATTCATAAAGTGTTGTGTAAATGTGATAAAAAGCTGTTGATTCTTACCTCATACAGTGATAGTGAAGTCCCACACTGTTTACTATATATGGGTTATGAATGTATTTTATTATATAAAGTGGATGTCTATTTACAGTATATACAACAATAGAAAGTTTCATGGGGTAGAATACTTTATTTTCTCTTCATTTGAATTTTTTTAGCAAGCGCTAAAAGCTTATTGGTCCTCTCCGTCTTTTTCCACTCTCTTTTTAGCCTTCCATCCTCTTGATCCGTATAGAATGACATCGTCACACACTGTACACGGAGCTTTACCGGCGACATCGAGCTTTTTCACGAAATCCGACACAAGCACAATGGTTCCTCTTTACTGTTTCCTACTGGGGACACCGTCAGCTTTCTATTCAACCAGTCCCATCGAAACGTGTTTTTCAGATCTGCATCTATCTGACGCACTTTAGCTTCGTCACGTGTCTCGATAACATTCGGCATTTGAGAGAAAGGGGTTTAGGAAGGCGAACACGGATTGGTTGTGATTTGCATTGGCCGATATAGCGACCAATCACAACAAGTAAGACATCATACACGTCCAATCGCAGGGCTGTTTACGATCGGAAGATGGAAAGACTGATCGGGTGAGCTCGTGAAAACTCGACGATAAGGTACCTGATCCCCCCTAAAATTTTCTCAACGGATTTAGACGATTCACAAAAATGATCAATTTAAGAAATAAAACGGCGGATTTCCGCGTATCCGCGGAAAATTGCCATCCCTGTATATACTAATATATTTAAACATGTATAAGTTAGGTTAGGTTAGTGTATGAATAACGAAATACAGTAAACACATTTATGTAGTACTGTGTATACTGCTCTATGTGACTTGCTACTGTTTTGCTGACTTTCACTGCCTCTCGCGGACCTTTTGCGGACTTTTTGCGGCATTTTCGCATTTAAAAAAAATAAATAAATAATTTATGAACGTTTGAAAAAATCCGCGATGCACCGAGGCCGCGATAAACGAACCACGAAATAGCGAGGGATCACTGTATCTTATTTTGAAGGCACGTTTAACCGTTAATATGGCGACCAGAGAGTGTTGCGGCCAGATAGGACGTTCCTCGTGTCATTATTCGTGTTTATTATTATGTTCCGAAAATACTACCCTTTTCATGCAGTTCATATCATATTATTTTGTTGTATTTATCCGTAACACCTCAAAGGCCGGTCCCTGAAAATACTGTCTGACATTAAACTGGTCTGTGGGGCAAAAAAGGTTGGGGACGGCTACGGTAGAGGACTCTCTTTGCCAATGGGAAGCCAGGACGATGCTCGGTAATAGCCAATGGCAGAGCTGCTATAAGTATGCTGCGTTCAGGAAACTCGGAGCTGCGAGTAGCAGCCCATACTGTATTTGATCTTGAAATTTCTTTTGTAACAAGAGGCAATATTTTCCTGTTGAAACATTTTGTCACTTAAAAATTTCGTATGAAGACACGTTCAGGTACCACTGTATACAGTAAAATACTCCTGGGCGGAGTCCTGCTCGAATGTTCCTGACAGAATTTTAAAAAAAAGAAAATTCTGATAAATTGTTCAGGAAGTGAGGGGCAAAGTTAGGAAATAAATGACAAGATATTTTATGGTCATTCAATTCAATTATTCCATAACCTTGACAGAGATGAAAGTGGACTTTTCTGAAAATTCCGGAAAAAATAAATATATAAATATATATATA